TGTTTGTAATCTGCTTTCTTCCGTCTGGCAATATATTGTGAACATTTTTCCCTGTCAGTTTATATATTTCTACACCATTATTTTTAGTGGCTTCAGAGAGGCTATAGAATGTTTCATAATTTACGGTGATCAAATATCCCATTATTGGATATGATGCTGTTTCCAATTTTTCGCTGTTATAAAAATACTTTAATGGACACCCCATTCTTTGTGCATGTCCTTAATTGTTTCCTAGAAATGGCATCGTATTCAGGCAGCCGTTCCTAATGGCAACTGAAATCTCGGCCTGTACAAGCTTTGGAGTAAGGCTCTTAAGCTGAAATCTGGAATTACTTTGGGCGAGATACTTTACCTCCCCACAAGCGTCTGTTCTTCATCTGTAAAACAGGATTAAGGGTACTCCCTACTTCACGGGGTGGTTGTGAGGATTAATAAAATAATGAAAGGAGCTCCTGGTGGGCCTGGCATGTGAATAGAAGATGGTTAACAGTGTAAGTATCACAGACACTCAGAGAAAACGAGGCCTGCGAGGAGGCCTGGATCTCAAATCCAGGGTCTAGTACAGCACCTGGCATAGAGCAGACACTTAGAAAGGGTTCTTTTTTTTTTTTTTTTTTTTTTTTGAGACGGAGTTTCGCTCTGGTTACCCAGGCTGGAGTGCAATGGCGCGATCTCGGCTCACCGCAACCTCCACCTCCTGGGTTCAGGCAATTCTCCTGCCTCAGCCTCCTGAGTAGCTGGGATTACAGGCACGAGCCACCATGCCCAGCTAATGTTTTGTATTTTTAGTAGAGACGGGGTTTCACCATGTTGACCAGGATGGTCTCGATCTCTCGACCTCGTGATCCACCCGCCTCGGCCTCCCAAAGTGCTGGGATTACAGGCTTGAGCCACCGCGCCCGGCCAGAAAGGGTTCTTATCAAGAAGTGAGAGAAAAGAGATCATGATTCCAGAAATGAACTGCTCTGTACAGGAAAAAAAAAAAAAAAAAAGCCCTTTTGGGTCCTCGAAGACAAGCAGACAAGACAAGGATCAAATCCCAAATGATCTTCGCCTGGGTCTTTGACGTCTGTCCGTCATGACAGCTCTTCAGGTTTTCATCTCGTTCTCCACCCCTGAAAGCACTGCACACAGCTTCCTGCCAGGCCCATTCCCTCCAGCCCCTCGCAGTCCCCCTCAGGGCTCTTACTTCTGCACTTTATCCCATCCAAGTTCTAAGCAGGCCTGACACGGCTTAGCTTCTGAAATCAGCATGTCCAAGGTGGTATGGCTGTAGACTTGACTTCTGGACTTTCTGCTGCTCACCAGGGGGGGTCTGTCAGCCCTCCCAAAGCTTCAGGTCCAGCTTGGGCTGCTCTTCTCCAGGAAGCCTCCCCCACCACAGGGCCCACCATGGTGGTCCAGACCCTTCAGCACTGTTTCCCAGGTACCAGTGACAACTTCCCGAGGGTTAAGATGATGTCTGTATTTCCTTGATCTCAGCCAGTGCTGAGCAAAACATCAGGCCCACAATAAAGCCTGGGGAACACAAACCCCTCACTTCCCCTCTCTGTGATCCCCTGAAGACCTTCTGTTCACTCTAAGAGCAAAATGTTTGTCCCAGGCCCAGGCCCCAGCCCCATTAACTCTGTGAATGAATTATTTTTTATGTTTACTGAACGTAAGAGCCACATGGTACCTTTAAGAATGCTGCTGGCCTATGAGCAAGTCACAGAGGGGACCTGGGTGGGGTCTGGCTGACCATTCTCTGGATGGGAGGAGGGGTGGCACAGCCTGGGCCTGGGATGCCAGAGCAGCTCTGACTTGGGCCTACAGTGCTGCCAAGTGATTTCATTCAGCTCACTTGGCACCTCATCCCTCCCAGGCCCCAGTGACAGGGAGTGAAGCCATCAAAAACACTACAACAGGATAGTAATAGTGCTATGGGAGCCCCAGGAGAGACCCTTCCCAAATGAAATGAAGTAAGAGAGGGTATTGAGAGAGCAAGGGGATCATTGGCCTGGAAAACAGAGAGGGAGGCCAGATTCTGGGTCAAAGGACCAGCTTTAGCAAAGGCCTAGGCAGATGACCATTGGCGTAGGCAGCCACAGGTACTGGCTGCTGGGATTCCCAGCAGGAGGATTTTGGGCTGCCAAGCCTGACCTACAAGGCCCAGGGCTCTGAATGACCCCAGATCTGCAGCTGCCTTCCAGCTACCTACTGTGCCAGCATCAGCTTCTCCGTCAGCTCACAGCAGTGATGGGTTCTGTGGTTTCAATTTTCAAATACAGGGGAAAAGTAATTTCAGGCCAGGCACAGTGGCTCATACCTGTAATCCAGCACTTTGGGAGGCTGCGACAGGAGGACTGCTTGAGCCCAGGAGTTTGAAACCAGTCTGGGCAACATAGTAAGATTGTCTCCATATAAGAAATTAAAAACTATAATAAAAAAAAAAAAGTTTTTAAACACTGGGCACAGTAGCTCACACCTGTAATCCCTGCACTTTGGGAGGCCAAGGCAGATGGATCACTTGAGGTCAGGAGTTCGAGACCAGCCTAACCAATATGGTGAAACCCTGTCTCTACTGCAAATACAAAAATTAGCCAGGTGGGGTGGCATGCGCCTGTAGTAGCAGCTATTCGGGAGGCTGAGGCAGGAGAATCACTTGAACCCGGGAGGTGAAGGTTGCAATGGGCTGAGATCACACCACTACACTCCAGCCTGGGTGACACAGCGAGACACTGTCTCAAAAAAAAAAAATGTTTTAAAAAAGTAATTTCAGGCCGGGCACTGTGGCTCACACCTGTAATCCCAGCACTTTGGGAGGCTGAGGCGGGTGGATCATGAGGTCAAGAGATCGAGACCATCCTGGTCAACATGGTGAAACCCCGTCTCTACTAAAAATAAAAAAAAACTTAGCTGGGCATGGTGGCGCGTGCCTGTAATCCCAGCTACTCAGGAGGCTGAGGCAGGAGAATTGCCAGAACCCAGGAGGCAGAGGTTGCAGTGAGCCGAGATCGCACCATTGCACTCCAGCCTGGGTAACAAGAGCGAAACTCCGTCTCAAAAAAAAAAAAAAAAAAAAAGTAATTTCAGGGCTGGGCGCAGTGGCTTACGCCTGTAATCCCAGCACTTTGGGAGGTCAAGGTGGGTGGATCACCTGAGGTTGGGAGTGAGATCAGCCTGGCCAACACGGCGAAACCCCATCTCTAAAAAAAAAAAAATTTACTAAAAAAAAAAGTAATTTCAGAAACTAAATATGACTGTCCTACATACTTCTCCACCATTAAACAGTAATTGCAAAAGACAGACAATCTCTGGGGCCCCAAAAGGCTGTCATTCTGTGAAGCAATGTTGGCCTGGAGGGAAGCTCTGCACATGGGCAGCAAATGGATTCCGGGGACCACAGTGTGGTGATCTCCTTCTGAGGGGCTTGAAACCTCTAGCTCACCTCTGGAGCATGCACTGTGAGAGGGAAGGAAGATGAACTAAAGCCTGTCAGGAGGAGAAGAAACAGCTGAAGCCCCTGGAGGTGTTTCCCTTGGAGGAGATGTGAAGGCACGAAGCTGTCCTCTTGAAGGGAGGAAGAGAGATGACTTGCTCTGTGTCATTCCCACCACAATGCTCTAGCCCCACAGTTAGCACATCACTTTGAAACCACCTGCTTATAAACTTACCCCCTCTCCAAAACCTCAGTTCCGTGTGAGTCACTTCTCTAACCCACGGTCAGGACACAGCAAATACTGAACTGACAGCGGAAATGACAGGAAGGCTTATTGTGGCTCAAGAAAGGGAAGTGCTTTCTAACAATCCCAGTTGCCTCCAACAGGCCAGGATGTTTGGGCAGAAGCATCACGTTAGGGAAGGGCCTGCTAGGAATGGAATGTACTCATGCCAACAGAGGGCTGCAGGATGAAACAGCCCCTGAGATTTCTTCCAATTCTAAGACCCAGCCCCCTGGAGCAGCAAGGGGAGCCACAGGATCGTGCCACTGCACTTCAGTCTGGGGACAGAGGGAGACTCTCAAAAAAAAGAAAGAAAGAAAGAAAGGGGGGCAGAGGGGGAACCATAGAGGAAGCAATGCAACAGCACATGCACTGTGCCAGGGACACACATCCAAACGCTACCTCGTTAACCCTCACAATCCCTCGTTAACCCTCACAATCCCACGAGGAGGTACACACTATTACTGCTTCCATTTCACAGCGGAAGAATCTGAGGCTCTTCACAGCGGAAGAATCTGAGGCTCATGGAAGTTCAATAACTTGCCAAAGACATGTAACTAGTAAGACGTGGAGCTGAAATGTGAACCAGGATCACCAGGTTGCCCTCCTGGCCATGCTGAAGGCAGCTCCAGCCCTTTGCAGCCGAAGGCTCTCCAAAGGAAATAATATCAACTGACTTCATGGCCTGCTGACACCAAAACGTGTCCAAAGTATTTTTACATCTATAAACCCAAAAGCGCTAAGCCAACAGATCCAGCTCTACGGAGAAACAGCTGGTCTGGAGCCAACTGTTCTGTGGGAGCCTAAGGGCTGCCCTCTCCTAGACTCCAACCAAAGAACATGAGATACTACAGGGAGGGGTACGGGAAGACTCTCCTGAAGAAGGTGAGTTTTACGGAGAGCAAAAATAAGATCAGACTTTTGCATTAGGAATATCATTGTGGTAGCAATTGAAGAGGCTGTGCTGCAGGCAGTGAGACAGGAGGCCTGAGGGACATGCTGGCCTCAGGCTGACCATAAAAAGAGACCAAACTTTCCACTCTCTGGGCCCGGATCTACTCACATTGTCATGGACAGGAGCCTGCTGTCAAGCCTACTGATTTTGTGGAGCTTCCTACATGTCTTTCTTTAATGTAAGGCGAGAATGCCGATCGAGTGCCAATTGCTGAACTCACTCCATGCCAGGCCCCTTACACAAATAATCTCCAGATGGCCCCAACAGTCCTATAAGAAATGTTACTATCCTTATCCCCGTTTTACAGAGGAGGAAACTGAAGTTCAAAGAAGGCAGCTTACCAAAGGTCATCCAGCTCCTAAAAGGAGGAGTCAGGATTTCAGTCGAGTTCTACCCGACGGCAGAGACTGCACTGTTAACGACTGCCGAGAAGAGTGGAGAGGGACGGCTAAGGGTTCTCAGTCCCGGGCTTCTGCGAGGACCGGTGACCCCGCAGGGCTCCCCCTCCACTCCTTCGGGAAAATAATAAGTGATACCTTCAGCCACAACCGCCGAATAAAGGCTAGATGTGGGAAGCCCAATCCCAAACAAAGGAATCAGGAGGGGGTCCAGCTTTCAGCAGCCTTCAGCTAGAAGAAGAGATTAAAGGGCATGGACCCGAGAACCCTGGACAGGAAAGACAGAAAAGGGGGTCACAGGCGAGCAGTTGACTCGGGCCAGAGGCGGGGCTCGCCAGGGAGGAACACTCTGGGGCGGGGCTTACGATGGGCGGGGCTCCCTGAGCTCCAAGTCTAGGACCTGCGGGACCCTATGAGGGGGCGGCCCGCGGGAGGGCGGGGCCGCAAGAGGGGCGGGGCTACAGCTGCGATAGCAACCCGCGGGCTCATGAGGTCACCTCCCCGCGCCTGGACCCAACCCTCATTCCATACTCTGGCTCCAGCAGGGCTGATCCGGGATCTCGATGGTGTAGTCCAGCTCTGCCGAGGCCATGGTGAAGGCGCCGGCCCCGAGCACTTGCCTCCAGCCGGAACTCCCGCTTGCGCACCCGTGCCTCACCCGGGCGTCTCCTGGGCGCCGCCCAATCACCACACACCTCCCCGAACACGGCCCAATCCCTGCGCCGCGCTCTGTGACCTCCCGCCTTAGCAACCACCGAGTCTCTTCCAGTGCCTCTCGCCTCGCCCTACTAGCTCGGTCCTAGCAACCATGACCCGCCCCCATTGCTGGCCCGCAGCCATTGGCTACCTCGCTTGATCTGGATCAGATATTGGTCAGCCGGGACGCCGGTCAGGAAGAGTCCCCGCCCTCTCATGTAGGTGAGAGGCTGCTGGAGAGTTGCTGTATTCTGGGAATGGGTAGGGTCACTCGTCCAGAGTCGTCCTATCCTACGCAGCGGAAGCGTGTGACCGTTGACTTGCATCGTCTAGCTACCTCTGTCATCCTCTACCAGCCGCAGCTCCGAGGGCTGCAGGTAGAAAACCGTACAAAACGGCCTAGGGGGCGCGTGCAGACCCAACCTCCACTCAGTGGGGTGGAGGCCTGTTCTGGATGGATGGATGGATGAATGGGTGGGTGGGTGGGAGGCAGTCTTCAGTTGATGACTTTAGAGAATGCCCTGTTGATAGGGTCCACCAAGGAGCTGGGAGTGCAACTTTCTTGCATTTATCTACTCATCTAACCCATAGTTACATATTATGTCCCAGAGACTTGGTGGGCTAAATGAGGTTTCTTAGGCCCTAATGAGGCTCAAGCTTTTGACGACCTCCCCCCCACGCCGCCATGTCTTAACGAGGAGAGGGAGAGAAACCATGCATGAAGCAACTCTAATTCTGCGTGTGGGGTAAATACTACAGAAGAGTAAGGATTTGAGATGCTCAGAATCAGAGAAGGGGCATTTATGGCAGTGGGAATGGCGCTTCAGCTGGGCCTTGAAAGACTTTTAGAGATAGGAGGGGGAGCCGGGCGCGGTGGCTCAAGCCTGTAATCCCAGCACTTTGGGAGGCTGAGGCGGGTGGATCACGAGGTCAAGAGATCGAGACCATCCTGGTCAACATGGTGAAACCCCGTCTCTACTAAAAATACAAAACATTAGCTGGGCATGGTGGCGTGTGCCTGTAGTCCCAGCTGCTCAGGAGGCTGAGGCAGGAGAATTGCCTGAACCCAGGAGGCGGAGGTTGAGGTGAGCCGAGATCGCGCCATTGCACTCCAGCCTGGGTAACAAGAGCGAAACTGTCTCAAAACAAAAAAAAAAAAAAAAAAAAAAAAAAGAGAGAGATAGGAGGGGGAAAGACTCCTTGCATGCCAGACGCGATGGCTCAAACTCGCAATCCCAGCACTTTGGGAGGCCAAGACAGGAGGATGGCTGAAAGGAGTTCAAGACCTGCCTGGGCAACATAGTGAGACCTTCATCTCTCCAAAATAAAAATTTTAAAAATTAGCCAGGCATGGTGGCACATGCCTTAAGTCCCAGCTATTTGGAAAGCTGAAGTGGGAGGATCACTTGAGTCAGGGAGGTCAAAGCTGCAGTGAGCCATGATTGTGCCACTGCACTCCAGCCTGGGTGACAGAGTGAGATCCTGTCTCACAAAACAAAACAAACAAAAAGACTCCCTTCAGGAGCTCAAAGATGTCAATGTGCCAGAAATTACATGAAGCATCCTGTAGCCAGGCTAGAGACTCAAGTGAGGGAAACCTTGGAAAAATAGGCTCAGATCCCGGAGAGTCTTTGATGCTGAGCTTGGCTTTGTGCTTACAGGTAGATCTTGCTGATGGTAAAAATTTTTCAATGCATTTTACACCTACGTGCACAAGAGCTTAGACTTTATCATGAAAACAGCAGGGAGTCATTGCGGGGCTTTAACCAGGGGAGTAACAATCATATTTGTGTTTTAGATCAGTGCAGGGACTGGATTGGGGATTGGTGGGAGAAGGGAGATCAATTAGGAAGTTGTTTCAGTAGTGGGGAAGGATTATGGTGGCATAAAGCCTTGAGTGGCAGCTGAAATGGAAGGGGCAGGATGAATTCCTTAAACACTTATAGCTAAAAAGAACTGGAATTGGTGACTGATCGGGTGTGGGGAAAGTAAGGGAAATGAAGGATGACTTCTAGATTCCTAGTTTGGGCAAACAGGAAGAAGATGAAGCAGAGTTTTTAGAAGAGGGTTAGTTCTGGGCATGGTAAGCTTGAGGTGCCAATGGAACATCCAAGTGGAGGTATCCAGGAGGCTTTTGAATATGCCTAACTGGAGTTCATCAGGTAAATCTTTTTTTTTTTTTTGAGACGGAGTTTCACTCTTGTTACCCAGGCTGGAGTGCAATGGCGCGATCTCGGCTCACCGCAACCTCCGCCTCCTGGGTTCAGGCAATTCTCCTGCCTCAGCCTCCTGAGTAGCTGGGATTACAGGCACAAGCCACCATGCCCAGCTAATTTTTTGAATTTTTAGTAGAGATGGGGTTTCACCATGTCGACCAGGATGGTCTCAAACTCTCGACCTCGTGATCCACCCGCCTCGGCCTCCCAAAGTGCTGGGATTACAGGCTTGAGCCACCGTGCCCGGCCGCTCATCAGGTAAATCTAACTGGAAGTTGCAATGTGGGAGTCTGTAAGGCCTTATAGATGCCAGCCCCACCAATAGATTTGTTGAGCTTGCCCAGGGAGTAAGTGTAGAGTCAGAAGAGACCTGAGACAGAGCCCTGAGAAGCACCCAAGTTCAAGTGTCTGGCAAAGGAGGACGAACCTGCAAAGGTAATCAAGATGAAGTGTCCAAAATGGTAAGAAAATCAGTAGTAGAATGTGGTATTTCAGAAGCCAAGGGAAGAAAGTGTTGAAGGCTGATGACTAATCAAGTGAAATGAGACCTGAAAGAATCCACTGGATTTAGAAACAAGGAAGTTGTTGGTGACCTTTGCAAGTGCAGTTTCAGTGGGGTGATGGAAGCAGAGGTCAAATTACAGTGGCTTGAGAAGTGGATGGGATTGAGGAAGTGAAGATTCATGTAAGGTACATTTTCGGAAAGCTTGGCTATTTAGAAGAAAAAAGGTGATAGGCAGAAGGAGCCACAGGTTTTTATTTGGATGGGAGAAATGTTGGTGTGAATCCAGCAAAGGGGAAAAAGATAAAATTATAGAGGAAGGAAGATAACTGAGAATGGTGCCCCTGAAAAAAAGAATAAGGTAGGGGATCCAAAGTAATGGTGGAGAAATTCACTTAGAAGGGTGGAGGACCATTTGTTTAGTGGCAGAAGGGAAGCATTATGCTGAGGTTAACTGTTAGGTTTGGTGATGGGAAGTTGAGGGAATTCTTCTTTGATGGTTTCTATTTTCTCTGTCAAATAAGAACATGATATCAGCCAGTGAGAGTAGGATTGGAGATGGTGTGCAAGATTGAAAAGAGCAGAGAAAGACTGAAATAGCAGCAGTGGAGGGTGGCGGTGAGATGACTGAGGGAGCAAACAGATTTCTAGGCAGTTATGATGGTCCTGTCGAGGTTGGTGACCATTAATTTTCAACAGCTGCAGTCCGCAAGGTTGTATAATATGCATTTTTCCCTCAACAACGTTCAGCCACCTAGTCGTGGGTACAGAGAGGTCACTTAAATGGATCAGGTTGGGTTTTACCAGGCAGATACAATGGAAGGACAAAAGACAAGTAAGTTGAAGATTGTGGCAAAACAGTGGTTGAAATGAAGGGCCTTCGTATCTAAACTAGATAGGAGAGTGGGTAAAAATGTATGGACTAGAGGTCCCAATGAAGTCAGAGGATCCTTACCTGAGATCATTGAATGAAAGGGTTGTGATCGGAAAGTGGAAGAATGAAGCTTGAGTAGTTTCCAGCAATGACAAGGTCCAGGGTGTGGCTGTGGAAGTCAGTGGCCAAAGTGCAGTACAGGAGACAGTCATGATGCTGACATGGCCACTGAACTCCCCCTGGATGATGGCAAGACTTGAGGGGAGGGAAGGGAAGAGGATGCCCGTGAGCTAGGTACCAAAGTCTTTGATGGGTAGAGCAGGTTGTTCTGGAATCTCTAGGTGACAGCATGAGGAGGGGCAAAAGTTGAGACGGCTAAATGGTATGACCCTTGAAGTAGTAAGGGCTTTTACAAGAAGGAGGTAGAGGCCAGGCGCAGTGGCTCACGCTTGTAATCTCAGCACATTGGGAGGCCAAGTTAGGTGGATCACCTGAGGCCAGGAGTTCAAGACCAGCCTGACAAACATGGAGAAACCCCATCTCTACTAAAAATACAAAATTAGCCAGGCATGGTGGTGCATACCTATAACCCCAGCTACTTGGGAGGCTGAGGCAGAAGAATCATTTGAACCCATGAGATGGAGGTTGCAGTGAGCCAAGATCGCACCATTGCACTCAAGCCTGGGCAACAAGAGCGAAACTCCATCTTAAAAAAAAAAAAAAAAAAAAAAGAAGAAAGAGGTGGAATAAGGAACTGAGTTGAGCTTTGGCAAGGAGACATAAGGCCCCTCTGAACCCTGAAATCCTGGGGGTACAAAAGTCAAAACAGCTTCCACCAGGAGAGCCATGCAGAAGGGGAGCTCTGGGGTAGAGCCTGCTTTGGGTGCAGACTGGAGGTTGGCAGGTGACTGGAGAGGCTAAGGATGGAGGAGACTTAACTGATTGGGAACAAGGGTTTTCAAGAGCAGAGTGAAAAGGTTAGGAAGGGAAGGAAGGCTGGGAAATGGGTCAAGGCAGATGAAGCATAGAGCAGTGAACGGGCCAGGAGAGTGTGGTTGACCTCGCCAGTTGCACGTTGTGGAGAGAGGATGAGGGCAGGTCTGTGGAGCAGGGTTGGAGGCAGAAGTGAGTTTGGGGAGAAGAAGAGGTGGGGCTGTGGGTACAGAAGAGGGCAAGGGGGAGAAGATGAAGGCAGAGGATTTCAGGATTTCACAGGAAGGAGTTCATAGGAAAAGATGAGGGCAGATGGAATCTGCCAGAAAGTGATGGGTGGCAGGGGTGGGGGTGTCTGTCAGGTTATGAGTAGGGAGCAGAAGGGGGTCCATGAGAAGGAAGTGCCAAATTGGAGTGCATATGCCCCCAGAAGAGAAGTAAGGACACCTTGTTAGGAAGTTTGAGGAGATCATGTTTCTCTCTCTCTCGCCCTCCTGTCTCTGAATGGAGAACTGAGAGTGAGGAGTCAGGGATGGAGCCCAAGGAGAAGGCCTCTGTCTCATTCTGCATGTGAAACCTGCAGGAGCAGGAGACAGTGACTGACCTGTTGTCTCCGAGGCCATCTGGGGACAGTGAGCCAGGCTGGCAACCCATGCCTTGGAGGCCTCTTGCTTTTAGAAAGTGTCTTTTGATTTAGGGGGGGGAAGCCCTCTGGGAAATTTTATTTAGAAACAAGACCTATTGATCTCTTCACTTTTAATACCTCCCCTTCGCTTGTTGCTAAGGACCTCTGGCTTAGCATGAGAGCTGGGGCTTTTGAGATTGTGTGATTTTAGTTTCCCTGCATGAAGA